GCAAAACAAAGACTCAGCAGTACGCAGATAATACATATTTTCTATAGCGTGGAGTTGTTTGGTGTCAGTGGACCTTAGTGTGGTGTTTTTTTTTTTTATTTGCGAAAGTTCATTCAAATTGATTGTTCCGTTTTAAAGCCCTAAGTCACGTCCGATTCATAATCAAAGTTTTCTGAAGTTGCTTGTCCTCTGAATATTTTTTGGATAGTATTTTGTATGTCTATCATTGCATAAATGCACATTCGTTCACAATTAAAAGTCCACAAACATTCAAATCAAAGCAATAACTATCACAGCAGTAGTCTGTTAGTTAAACAACATAAAAAGGTAGAGAACAAAAAAATGAGGAACCATGTCAAGAAATAGGCTGCTGTGCCAATGGTCCTTCAACATGAAGAATAAACTAACCTAGTATTTGTGTATGTATTTTTCGGAGCAAATTAGCATTTTTACAATTCTCATTACAGACTCTTAAAACACAGAAACTCATAAACAAAAGTTATTTGTGATTGAAGTTCCATGAAGAACCTTTAAAATTCATAGGACATTTCAAGTCCACAAAAGGTTCTTCAGATTATTAAAATATTCTCAGAGGGAAGAAAATATAGGTTCTTTTTGGAACTGTTCACTGAACCAAAAATGTTTTGCATTGCTTCAACATCGCTTCAGTCATCCAATTCATAATCAACGTTTTCTGAAGTTGCTTGCCCTCTGGAGATTTTTTTGGATAGTATTTTGTACGTCTATCATCTTATTCGCCACACATTCGTCCACATAACACATTCGTCCACATTTAAATATCCACAAACATTCAATTAAGGCAATAACTATCACAGTGGTAGTCTCTTTGTTAAACTAGTACATCTTATGTGATATTGCTTGCTAGTTGTTGCTATTTCGTTTTTTTTTTTAATTGGTTTACTCAAATATTTAAGTACTTTAACTTGTTGGGTCTATTCATTTTTATTTGTCATGGTACCACATGCAGGCACACGGATCTGCATAATTTTATTTATTTATTTTTTACTTGCATTTACCCAATTCATAAAGTGTATAGTTCACTCATTTCTCAGCTTTAAAATTCACTATTTTTTGTTTGTTTCTTACTCCCTATAAGGCCAGAAACCTACTTATATATGCTACTTTAAGCAAACAGAATTCTTTTCCAACACATTCTAAGTGTTTTTGGGGTGGCAACAAACCACAAAGGGGGCGACAGAGTTTCTTTCGGATCTCTGCACCGTTAAACCAAATGTTGTTTTTGTGATAAGCCTGCTCGGCTATATTATTTCAGCTTATTTTTGTTTAAATAACTATGTTTAACAGCAGCATTTCTGGAAGGAAAACCAATTGAAAAACAAATTGTGCAAACTTTGTTGTTAAATTTAGCACTACATCACTTGCTCACCAATGGATCCTACAGTGAATGGGTGCCATCAGAATGAGAGTCCAAACAGCTGATAAAAAATATCACAATAATCCACATGACTCCATCAGTTAATTCAGTTAACTTTTGAAGTGAAAAGCTGCATGTCTTTAAGAAATAAATCCATTGGAGTCCAAAATAATAGTCCACAATCCATAATAACGCTTCCTCCAGCCAAAAAGTCCATCCCCTGTTGTCTTCTCACATCAAAATTTATTTAGCTTGTAAACAGTGCTTGATCTGTGCATATATCTCTCCTTATTCAGATGAGACAACAATATTATGGGTGGAGGACAAGCTGTATGGACTCATTCTGACAGCACCCATTCATTGCAGTGGATCCACTGGTGAGGAAGTGATGTAATGCTAAATTTCTCCATATTAGTTCTGATGAAGAAAAACTCGTCTGCATCTTGAATGGCCTGATGGAGAGTAAATTTTAAGCAAATTTTCAGTTTTAGGTGAACTGAACTCCATTATGTAAACAACCTTATGATTGGCTAAACTCACTGTACTCGTTTTTTGTTTTTTTCCGTTCGTCATGTTGACAAAAAACCTTTTAATCAAGCTTCCCCTTTAATTAGCACTGCAAACCTACATATTATTCAAAACCATAAAAGGAAAAAATGTTGCATTCTGAATGAAACAGCATCACATATGTTATACTAAATATTGTTGTGCACAAGTTCACGAAAGCGATTTATTTTCTGGAAGTGTTTTTCACATCCCAGATGGATGGATAAAGTTGTGTGTATGTCTTGGCTCGACTCACAGTGTCGCAAGTAACCAGCTGGGTTGTGTTTGTGAAGGTGTCAGACAGAAGATCTCAGTCTCTATCACTCAGCACCGTCCACTAGGACATTTCTCTGCCTGTCGCACACACAAACAAACACGTGACACGCACACTTACACACCTGCCTCACACTTCCTATCACACCAACCTCTGCCCTTCATCTTCATTCTGGTCTCTTTGACCCTTGTCTCATCCCATATTGTCCTTCAGCGACTGTGAGATAGTGTGTGCACTGTGCTGTAATCTCTAAGAATGATACTGCAGGAAAAAAATAATAAAGAAATCTCTCCAGGCTGGAGGGGTTTACCAATCTCTGGCTGCTCGCAGAACTGTCCTGTCAGATCTCTGCCATTCCTGTGACCTTAAAGTGGCCTTTGGGTGCTGAAGCATGTAGCTGTGAAATAGTCCTTGACAATTAGAAGCACACACACGCGCGTGGGAGCTTTCTTTCATATGCAGGTTTAATTGCATGTGGCCAGTCATTACGAGACGTCTTAAAGGGCACGGCTGCACATCTTCAATAATAAATGTGACACTCTGTCAGGAACGCCATGGTCATTATAAGACCAAAACAGTGATGGCTGGTTGTTTTCAAGGCAATTTGCTTTGTCAAACTATTACTATAAAGCAACATTACTTTACTTTAAATGATTGATCAAGTTCAGAACTTCATATTATTTTGCATTGTCACATTATTTGAATTTAATGTTGCTATTGAATTTAATTTAGTATAAAATACAATTATATTTGATCTTTTATATAGTATATTATCATTTCTATATTATAGTTGTATATTTAAATGGCAGTACAGGCAAGATAAAAGATTATGGTATCTCCTATCTTTGCTCTATTTATGACTGACATTTATTTATGACTGACTTTATTACTTTGACAGTTTATGACTTCACTTAATTATTACTCTTATGAATTAATTACTCATTACTTATTTAAGACTATAATGATTAATTATAACTTATTCATTTTACTATTTATTTTTGTTTTGACTTTTTTATTTAACTATTATGCCTTATTTGACTTATTATATGATTTATTGTTACTCATTCATTTGACTTCTATTTTTTATTTACTATGACTTTATGACTGTTAGATTTTTTTTTTTTACTTTAAGCTTATGACTAATAGCTTATTTAATCATTATAATGGCGTATTTATTTATTTAGTTTATTATTTATGACTTTTTAATGACTTTTTATGACTTTGACTTATTAATGACTTAAGACTTTATGACATTAAATACTTTGATTTATGAACTCATTCATTTATGACTGTTATATTGTGGCAATTTTTATGTTGCTGTTTGATTTATTTATGACTTATTTAATATTTTTATATGATTGATTAAAACGTATTAGTTTGACATTTGATTTATAACTGACTTCAATTTATTACTTATGCAATACTTAAACTCATTAATTTCACCTTTTTATTTTTTTTATTTAAGACTATATATTTGCCATTTATGATTTATTACTTTGACTGACTATGACTTGCTTGACTTAAGACTTATATAATACTTTATTATGATTGATATATGATTGTTATAGCTTAGTTTGATTATTTATTTGTATTTGTATTTATTTGTATGTTTATTGTTTACAGCATACAGATGCATCTCAATAAATTAGAATGTCGTGGGAAAGTTCATTTATTTCAGTAATTCAACTCAAATTGTGAAACTCGTGTATTAAATAAATTCAATGCACACAGACTGAAGTAGTATAAATTCATTATACGAACTAAATGCATTTATTTAACAAAATATTTATTTTATTTAAACATTATTTATTTTATTTCCTTTTTTCAACATACATTTTTTTTTGTGGTTAGTTTTTTTTTGTCTTGATAAAACTGTGAAAACAATGTTATCTTATTCTATTATTATTAGTATTATTATTATATTAACAAACTTTAACTGAAATTATATATATATATATATATATCATCAGTATATGAGTATATCAGTTAAAGTTTGTTAATATAATAATAATAATAATAATAGAAAATTAATTATTTATTTAATTTTCCTTTAAACTTGGACTATAAACTAAAATAGCTAAAACAAACCTAAAACTGAAATGAAATACAAAGTAATAAACTATTAAAAAATACTATAAACAATAAAACAAAAACTAATAAAACGGACAAACACAGAACAAATGTACTAAAACTTTAACTAAAATTTAAAAAAACTAATTTGAAATCTTAATAAAAACTGTAATAGTGATGATTGATGATTTATTGATTTTTGTTAATGATTGATGATTTTTGTTCCCAAAAAGAGCAAAAAAACAACACCAAAAACAAACGATGTGTTCTTGCATTTCAAAAAGCTAGATAGAGTGCAATGGTATTGAAAATTGTGATATAAAAATAACTCTGTGTATACGCATTTATACTTAATGATATTAAGTACTAGTTATATATTAAAAATGTTAAAATGTTTAGTTTATATGATTATATATTATACGAAGACAACTATATCGAAAATGCATTTTAACCTGCTAGCAAAGCATTTCAGTTAATAAATTTAGTCATCAATATCAAAAAGCCATAAGCCTCTTTTTCCAACAAACTTTTTTATTAGTAATTTTAATTATAAAGTTAACACACACCACAAGAGGATATCAAGACTGCGACAGATTTCACAAGGAAAAAAAAAACCTCTGAAGCCTCTGAACACTGTCTCACTTCCGTTATCACGATATGGAAAATGCTATTTTATCATCTCTTTGACTTCCAGGCCTTTCTCTCTCAGATGAGTGGGTGATTAAAACACTGTCAGCAGAGGCCAAACAGGGATCCATAGACAAGACAAATGTTTATACAGCTGATCCCTCATCGCTGGGGAAAAACGCAGAACCTCCGCATTGTGGTAAATAATTGAGCGCTGCATGATTAATTATGCATTATGAAATACTCTGTCGAAGCAGAAAGTTTTATTGTGTACCCAAATACACAGAGCCATGCTCTTTTTTTTTAGTCTTATGAAGTATTCTAATTTGTTGAGATAGTGAATTGGTGGGTTTTTGTTAAATGTGAGCCAAAATCATCACAATTAAAAGAACCAAAGACTTAAACTACTTCAGTCTGTGTGCATTGAATTTATTTAATACACGAGTTTCACAATTTGAAAATTACTGAAATAAATGAACTTTTCCACGACATTCTAATTTATTGAGATGCACCTGTATATCCGTGTATATGCCTCTGCCAACAAGGCGGGATATTTTCACTTAGTGTAAATAGACACTCCGTTATTTTAGAGTTGTAAGTCTTAAAGTAATCTCCACTAGTTGCCTTGTTTTCAGCACATGCGCATTTGCACAAACGACAGAGCGGACAAATTAGTGCTAGTTAAGGATCTTGGCTGCTGATGTGAAGGTTGTAGGTTCAGTTCCACATAGCAGTGGACCCGGAAACCCAAGAGTCATTGAGATCATTGCTGCAGTCCGTCACCATTGGGCTCTTGAGTGAGGCACTTAACCCAAGGTTGCTCCTGTGGGACTGATTCTCCCAGCAATTAGTGTACCGCAAGTCGCTTCAGATGAAAAGTATCTGCTAAATGGCGAGTAAATGAACATTGGCACTCCAGTATCCAAGACCCTTGTTGAGACCTGAATAATGTTACATTAGATTGTGAAATGTCTTTGAATTCTTCACCCAAAAGTGTTTTTTGAAGCTTGAAAGCTCTAGTCTCCATACATTGCAAATGCTTGGAAAAAAAAGCTACCAGCACATTCCTCAAAGTGTTCCTTTTGTGTCCCACAGAAGAAAGTCATACAGGTTTGGATCGACCTGAGGGTGAGTAAATGATGACAGCGTTTTCCTTTTTGTGTGAACCATCTCTTTAAGATCCCTTGGGTTCAGTGAACACGGAGTCGTTCTAATACAACGCCGAACACTGAAAGGTCAAATGAGATGAAAGTAAATCAACTTGATGTTGGCTTCTTATAGTAAGTCACCTTTATTCACATCTCTCAGATGATGCCCTTGACTTTGAGAAGAGGGGTGTGTTTTTATGTAAGAGTTTGAGAGTGAACGAGAAGGGAAAAAAAACACCCGCCCCACACACACACTGGCCAGTGTTAATTTGTACAGTTTTTGTGTTGGTCATAGATTTAGTCTTTTTATATCTCATTAAGTGTGTGGGCTAAACTCTAAACTTTTCTGGCCTATTAATCCTTTAGAGGTCACATACATTTCCATTTCTCTCCCCCTCCTCAGTCTCACCTCGGGTTATTCCTTCAATTTGCGTGATACTTGACTTAGCCTATATAATCTAGAGACACATAAAACATAAAAAGCATGTTTTCAGTATAAAATACTGAAATAAATAAAATGCATATACAGTGGGTACGGAAAGTATTCAGACCCCCTTCAATTTTTCACTCTTTGTTATATTGCAG